TTGCTATTGCTATTGCTCCCTTGTGCACCCTCCCCAAGGCTCCCCCTGCCACCTTTGCACCCCAGTGCATTCTGCACCCTCCACCCACCCACCCCAAACCTTGCATGCACCCTTCCCCACCCACCAGCAGCCACTTAACTGCTTAGCTGGCCTGCTTGCAACTCCTTGGCAACAGGAAGTTTCCTCCCCTAAAGATCGCGGGATCCTGACTGCAGCATCACCTCCCTTAGGAAGAGAAATTCCCAATGACTGTTGTAAGGCGAGGACCACTTGTGCCAACCCCCCCCCCCCCAAAAAAAAAAAAGTGAAGAAGGGATGGTGCCGTTCAGCAGCTGATTTGCAGGTCCAGAGGTTCTGTGGGTTCAGCGTTTGCGAGTGGGGGAAGTGGGGGGGGGATGCATCTTAGGCTCTCTCTAGACAGAGCTGGATGTGTCCTGGTGTATTGTGATGCCCTCCCCCCAATCTATTGCTCAACTCCAAGATCTTGGTTTTCTTCTCAGCTTCAAGCCTCGATTCCTGGTCCTCCATGGGGGGCTCCTCTCCGGATAGCGGAGTTGTCGGCAGCCTGCGTACTTTAGTTGCCGAATGTGTGCATGGTCGGAATTACTGCCGGCAGACCCTCTACCTTTACCAACTCTCCAAAGTAGGTGGCTGGGCTCTGGAATCGGGGTGGAGGACAGGCAGCCCTCGTGCCTCAAGCGGGAAGGGAGGGGATCTGACTCTTCTCCCCCCTCCTGGCGCTCCGCAGGAGCTGGGCTGCTCCTTCAGTGAGATCGCCGTCCACGATTCAGAGAAGCTGCTCCAGGCAATCCTGTCCTCCCAGCAGCCAGACTGGTACAAGAAGGCCCAGGCCTTCATCACCAACCAGGGGCTGGAGCCAGGGGCCGTGGCTGAGCTGGTGGCAGAGGAAATCACACGGGAGCTGCTGGAGCCTTTGGAAGGAAGAGGCAGTGAGTCCACGCGGGGTCTCTGCTTGGGAACACAAAGCTGGACAAATGGCTTTGGCTCTGGAGAGGGGCTGCTGGCTGGACTTTGGCCCAGGCTTCTCTTCTGATGGGGGTGGATGATGATTATGACAGGGCCTCCTGCTCCACGGTCCCTTCCAACCCTCACTGTTCTAGGCGTTTCTGTTTGCGCTGCATTTGCCTTTCTAACCTAAGTTCTGTCGTGACTGTTGTTTAATCCAAGTATGTCAGGCTACTGAAGGGATGCAATAGGATTCCTGGAATGGGACCAGAGGGGAGGCTCAGCCTGTCTTGTTTTATGTGCAGAGCAAACTCCGGCCCTGAACCCTGCGGAGGAGAGCCAGAGGTTCCTGCAACTGGCCAAGCTTTGCCAGGACCACACACTGGTCGGCCTGAAGCTGCTGGAGAAGGTTTCCTCTGTGCCCCACGGGGAACTTGCCTGCAGTAAGTTTGCAGTGGATGGAAAATGGGTCCTTGTGGAGGAGGGATTTAAGGTGAGGTTTGTGAGGACTTCTGGGTCTCGGCTGAGACCGAAATCCAAAATATGTACATTTTGGCAAAGATCTTGTGAGGATCTATTGGCAGGGGAACATGGATCTCCTTCGACCTCCTCTTCATGTTGGGTCTCTTGGGAACTCTGCTCCCCCAATTGGCTGAAACCCGACTCCCAGGGTCTCAGCCGTTGCCCCTCTTGGCTGGATTGCTGGGGGTCGTAGTTGAGTGGCATGGGGGAGGGGGCCAGGATGACTGCAGCACGAGCCTTTGTTCTCCTTCCTCAGCCGTGGAGCTCCTGATTCTGGCCCACAACTGCTTCAGCTTGACGTGTCACATGGAGGGCATCACCCGTGTCCTCCAAGCTTCCCGGCTGCTCACGGACGATCACTTGGCACCAGAGGAAGAGTTCGGCCTCGTGGTAGGTGGGCTCCTCCGAGAGGACGGAGAGGCTGCAGCGAGGGTCCCTGAAGGGCTTTGGAGCAGGAACTGGCCCCTCTCAGTCCGAGAGTCTTTGGGGCTGTCAGCTGGAGGGAGCAGCTCCTTCCAGGGCACAGAGAGTCTCCTCCCCTGGCCTTCAGCTCTGCTCATTCTCAGGTCGTCGTTGACTTACAACCACAATTGAATCCCAAGAGAGACAGTTGTTAAGTTAGAAACAGTGTTGTTAAGTGAATTTGGCTCCCCCGTTGAGTTTGCTGGTCAGAAAGTTGGAAAAAGGCGATCACATGAAACACCCCTCCCCTTGCAGCTTGGCTTTGGCCCTGGGGCCTTTGAGCGGCTGCAGGGGCTACAAGAGTGGGAAAGGGTCTTCAGGGCTGTTGTGACTTTGAGGGGTCCCTAAATGAGCTGTTGTAAGTCGAGGACCACCTGTGTTGACTGGGAAGCTGGCTGGAGTGTCCCGGAGCCCCCATGCCCCTCGCGGGGGGAGCGGAGTTCCTGGGGTTGGGTCGGCTGAGGCTCCTCCTTCTCTCCCCAAAGGTTCGCCTTCTCACCGGGATTGGCAGATACAGTGAGATGACCTACATCTTCGACCTGCTGCATGAAAAGCATTACTTTGAGGTGCTGATGAGAAAGAAGTTGGACCCGGTAGGCATTCCGGAAAAGACCCGCTTTGGCCGAGGGGCCTGGTGTGCATCTCCCTCCCCTTATTAGACCACTTAGAGAGGGCTGTGAAAAGCCTCGTGAAGTGGAATAAAGCAATAGCAATAGCAATAGCAGTTAGACTTATATACCGCTTCCTAGGGCTTTCAGCCCTCTCTAAGCAGTTTTACAGAGTCAGCATATTGCCCCCAACAATCCTAGGTGCTAGTCTTAGGTGCTGTGACTATATCAAAGAGAGTCAAGGTGGGGCCCTTTTGAGTTGCTTCCCAACCCCATCCTGTCCTCTCTGCTGCCTTCAAAGTCTGGCATTTCTCCCTGGCAGGATTCTAGAGCAGATCATAAAGTTTTAAAGACTTAAAACAAGGCCCTCATCACCAGAAATCAACTTGGGCTTGTTAAGAACTTCCTCCTCCTCCTCCTCTTCCTCCTCTATGATCAGGTAGATTGTGCTAATGCTTGTCTATGCGATGTCTCTCGTCTTCAAGCCTTAGTTCTCATATACATGGGCTCCTAGGCAGATGGGAGGCCTCCTTCAGAAGGTCCATCGTCCCACCACCCCTGCCCTCTCTTCCTGCCATGGCACAATGGATTACATGAAACGATGAGAAGGGTTTATTAGGTTGGATGCTTTTATAATTCTGCTCCTTCCATCCACCACTTCTATTATCTTCCAGCTTCGACTGTGACTTGGGAACGCTGGGCCCAGTTTCTCTTTTCAGTAGGATTATCTACACAGAGGATGATTTGTTTGAAGTTTATTTTAGAAAGGAGAACCGAAACTCTTTTGGAACTTGGGAGAGCAGCATGCCAAACGTTAAAGCTCAAAGACATAGAAGCCTAAAATATAATCAGAGGTTTAAACTCTAAGAGAAACCTGCGATGGCATTGATTTCCTAATAACCAAGGAAAGTTTTACTGCCTGGAGTTTCCAATTATTTCCTTGAAGGAAGTCAAGGGCTAAGCATGGAATATTGGACTGAAGTAAAAAGGAAGGTTGATTCTGAACCAAAGTTCGGGAAAACCTTCCTGCTTTCAGCAGTCCAGTAGGGGAAGCCTTGGTCCAGAGGGAGCCCCTGCTCGCTGGACAGGCTCAAGGTAGCAGCCCCCAATTTGGGATGCGCTCAGTCGGCGCTTAGGTTGGGGTGCCTCAGTTCTCCCCCCCTTTCTGATGTTCTGCCATTGGGAAGGAGACCCCCTGAGCGGTGGAGGAGGGGGAGGCCTGGGCCACTGACAGATGCCTCTCTCCCTCTCCCTCTGGCAGAACGGGACCCTGAAGACGGCTCTGCTGGACTACATGAAGCGCTGCCGGCCGGGAGACAGTGAGAAGCACAACATGATTGCCCTCTGCTTCAGCATGTGCCGGGAGATCGGGGAGAACCACGAGGCAGCAGCCAACGTCCAGCTGAAGCTCATTGAATCTCAGCCATGGGGTAAGGACTCCCCTGTCCAGGTGGAGCCCTCTGGCGGAGGCTCTGGGTGGGTGGGAGCTGCCCTGGTGGATCCGTTGGGCTGGGTGGGTCGAGGCTTTGCGTGCTGCTTGTTCTTCCCTGCTTCTCCTGAGGGAGCAAAGAAGACGGAAGGCCCGGCTCCCCTCTCCCTTCCCTTCAGGCGTTGAGGAAAGGGGGAAAACACGCCTGGCTGGTACCGGCCAGATGGGCAGCAGAGACCCCTGCAGGGTTAGCCAGAGCCAGTCGCTCCTCAGAAACTGACCCTCCCTTATGGCCCCCAAGGGTCGCCCACCTGAACTCCCAGGCAGAAGGTCCGAGGATGAGGCTGGTGGGGCTGCCTTTCACAGGTGCCCCTTCAGCCAGGAGCCCCCCGTGGAGCCAGCGGCTTCAGAGGCCTCTAGGAACAGATCTCCAAACGGAGCTGCTCTTTGGCTGCTGCTGGGAAGGCCAAGAGCCTCCACCAGCAACTGCAGCACAATTGCACTTCTCAGCTCTTGTAGCTTGGATTCCCCCGGCCTCACCAGTCTTCTCAAGAAGCAGAACCCTCGGAACAAAAGGAGGCTTCTGTTGGGAGGTTCTGTGATAGCAGGAGATCGAGGCAGGGATCAACTTTTCCCACTCGGAAAGTTAGATTAAACCAGTGCAGACAGAGCCCCTCCCAAAGCCCAACTCATCATGGAGCCAATCCAGAGGTGCACAGATGTTATGGGAAGCTCCAGCCAAGAAGGTGATAAGCATAGGCTGTCCTCCTCCTCCAGAGATGAGAGAAGGCAGCTGCTGCGGGAGGCTCCTTCCTTTCCCTCTCCCAGATCCCGAAAGTGACAGCAAAGCCAAGCCAGGAATAGAGAGAGAGAGAGACCCCCTACAAGGATCCCCTCCCACCAGAATGGGAGCCTCCCTATAGGAACTGATGGGACCTCACAGAGACCAGGAAAGGGCAGGGGTTGCTTTGATGCCCCTATTTCCTTGGAGTCTGGTCACGTTCATCCTGTGCCAGCCGGATTTCCCCACTGCGGTTCCAGGGGTGAACTGGTGAGGAAATGAGGTTGCTTCTGTTGCCGGATTTGAAGGACGGCTGGTGGAGCAGTTTCCAAGGAAGCCCCTCCAGGCCTGAGCTTTTCCAATCAGGAGCTCGGTTGTTGTATTCTCCGTTGAGCTTCTTCAGCATCTCCTCCTCCAGGCAGGACCATGGCATCTGCTCCGGGGAGAGAGGCTGGTCGCCTGGGTCCAAAGCAGCTGGAGGAGGAAGAGGAGGAGGCTCTTGTCCTTTGGGCCTGGTGAAATGCCTCTGATCCCATTTTCGGTCGCTTGCTGCCCCCTCCCTGCCCTCTGCCTGGGCGTTTTCATCCCACAGTCCTGGGTGGGATGGGCACGGTGGCCCAGGCTGCCAGCTGCTCTCTTCCTTCTAGCCGAGAGTCTTCAGGATGTGCCAAGCTTGAAGAAGCTCCTGATGAAAGCTCTGACCCTCTTCCTAGATGCCACCGAGAGCTACTCCAAGGTGAGATGGAGAACAAGAAGGGGCCGGGCGCATGGGTGCCTCCGAAGGTCTCTGGCAACTGGGGGTGGGATCTGCAGCTGAGGCAGGGGTGGAGTGCAGAGACTGCCTGGCTTGACTCCCTGCAGAGGAGGAAGCAATGGAGACCTGAGCTCCCTTCCTGGTGGAGGCTATTCCTGCAGTACTTGGCTTCTTAACCAAGGTGGGAGGCTTTCTAGCTCCATTGTGGATCCCAGTTTTTTGCTTTCCTGACCCTTCTCCCTTCTCTGTACGTGGGACACAGGAAGGACGGCGGGGGTTTCCTTCCTCCTTCTCCTGTTTGCTCCTGCATTGTTCACCCAGGCGACTACCCTGAAGTTCAAGGGGTTCAAATATTTCTCCTTGCGGTTTGTTGATGCTGTTTCCTTTGTATGCCAGGGAGTCCATTTAACAGATCATGAGAAGGAAAGCAGGAACAGTAACACAATTTGCAAACACCCCAAAACTTCTCCTGGTCACTGTTTTATCAGTGAATGAATTAGAAAGATTTCGCTTGGCAAAGAGTGATGATTGCGCTCCTCCCGTGCCTAAAGGATGGCTGCCCTCTGGAATGAGCTTCCCCTGAGAGCCAGAAGGCCCCCCACTCAGCGGAGGTGTAAAAGAGCCACAGAGACCTGGCTATGGCTTAGTTCCAGGTTGGATCTCTCTCGAATGAGCTTCTTGAGTTGCCTTCTGGTGCTTTGGAGAATGGGTCCCACACCCTCTACAGCAGCCCCTCCTAATAGCAGAAGCCTCTTTTCAGCAGGGTAGAATTCCCTGCCCAAGTCCTGCCATTGTTCTTCCTATGTTTTGGCCTCCAGACCCCTCCTCATCTTCGTTGCTCTCCTCTGCCTCCTCTCCAGGGTCTCCACATCTTTTCTCAGGAGGAAAAGTAGGAGAGTTTTGTGCAGCCAGAGACCAATTAGTCCCTCTGCCTCCTTTCAGGTCTCCTCCTCAGCCATTGCCAGATCTTGTTTTTTAGCCTGCTATTTTTTTTAAAAATTATTTATAGGGAGTCCTCTGTTTATAACTGGTTGCTTAGTGAATGTTCAAAGTGACAATGTCAGGCCTTCCCCTGCACTCACATGGAGGCCTTTGGGGCACCTGGCAACCAGCGGGCACTTGTGGCTGTTTGCAGAGTCTACCCTCATGGAACTGCAAATTATAAAGTTGTTTTTTGGCAAAAAGTGCCCTATTGTGGACAGTGAGTTCATTTAATGGCCTTGGGGTTCACTTGGGGTTTACAACTACCGTATTTGCTTATTGGCCACCGTAAAATAGCTCATGAACTGGAGGCCAGTCACATGCTTTACGAGCATCGGGACATCCAACCGGAATTGGAGGGCTGGATTTTAAAAGACTTAAAGGTTTCCCCTGTCCAGTTGTGGCTTCAGGGGCCGGGGCTCACGTCCACTTCCTAGCCAAGGGAGCCAGCCGTGTCCAAAGAGGCTTCCATGCCATGTGGCACACAGAATGTTGCTACTTTCCCACAAAAGTGGTAACTATCTACTCACATTTGCATGCTTTCAAACTGCTGAGGTCGGCAGGAGCTCACCCCATTGCTCTGATGCTCACCCCGTGGCAAAGCTGGGCTGCCAAGCTCAGCACCTTAATGGCTGAACCGTTGCACCCTCTGGGCCTCAATTGCTGTAGTGTAATGTTTGGTCCTTTAATCTTTCCAGTACTCCGTAAGCCTGGTATGCTAGCGTTTCAGTACATCATTTTCACTGTCCTTCCGATATTCTTCGAAAGCCCCTTTTCCTTCTTCTTCTATTGCATATAGAAGGTTTGTTCTCTTATCCTGAAGAACAGGACATGGATGCAGCAGATTTAAATGATGGGCAAGTGTCTCTGCCTGCGTGCTATAAAACTCTCAGTCATCCCAAAGGGGCTTTTTCAAGAGGCAACCAGACTTCCTTATCTTTTCTTTAAAGACGTTTCACTTCTCATCCAAGAAGCTTCTTCAGCTCTGACTGGATGGTGGGGAAAGGAAGGATTTATATTCAGATAGTAAAAACGGTGCGACCACTTGGGTAAAGCTACGGTGAATGCCCTTTAGCGGGAGTGCTTTACGTAGAGGAAGGCAGGAGAAAGAGGGATGTGAGCCCCTCCTTGGGGCAGGGAAGGCATCCCAAGCGGTGCCCTCCGGCTCTTCTGCCCTCAGACATTCGACACGCTTTTCTCAACACGCTTGTTGCCAGCCAAGCTTAGATGCTCCTCTTTTCCTCACAGAATGAACTCCCAGCACAACCACTTCAGCCAACCAGTTGCCAGTAACGTCACCTTTGATTTGCCAAATGCTCAAATGTTTTTGGAGCTGACGGGTGGATGCTGATGCCTCCCTTCTGGGTTTGGGGTGTGATGAAACGGGCAGGAGAGGCGGTTGCTCCCGGAGCTCCCTCCTTGCTCCGCCTGATGTCCCTCTGCTCCTGCCTTTAGGACTTCTGCGTGTGCCAGTCCTTGCGCTGCAAGAGGTTGACCAGGCTCATCACCCTGCAGCTCCACTTCCTGGCTTCTCCGCACAAGACCCAGCTGATCAACCTGAGGCGGGAGAGCTTGCTGCCCTGCATCCTGGCCCTGCCCAGGTTCTACCAGGTGAGCAGGGCCTTCACCCCCTGGAAGGGCGGTTGGCTTTCTCTGTGAAGAGATGAGAAGACAAAGGCCAGGAGGTGTCCTCTGTCCTATCTGGGTAGTTCAGAAATGCTAAAAAATTAAATTAAATACAAAACAAGCCTTTTACCACTCAAAATTACATTAGGGCTGAAGCAGTGGTACTTGCACCCAGTTCTTGAAGTCCCAGCTGCCACAGCATTCTCACAATCTCATGGTTAGGATCAAATGAGATCACATGATCATCATTTGCAAGCTCCCCCAAGGAAAGTCAGTGGGAAGCCGGCAGGGAAGGTCTCTGGTCGCTCCAATCAGCCTGGCCAGCCTCCCTGCGGCTCCACTCGCCTCTCCATCCCAGCAGCATCACTCAGCTCCCACTTCTGGTCCCCCTCCTTCAATTCCTCTGCAACTTGTGCTGGCCCTTCCTGGCCTCCCCCACCCCACAGAAGCACCTCTCTCCCCCCTCTTTCCCAGGGGCTCCCAGGGCTTCCCACTTAATGGCTGTTCCTCTTAATAAACACATGACTTGGCGGGACTGCCAAAGTTGCTGCGCCCAAATCACGCAGTGTCACCCCTTGGGACCACCTTGCTTAGCAACGGCAATCCTGGTCCCAATTCTGTCGTAACAGGGAAGCTAATTATTTATTAATAGCATTTTTTTTACTTCCGACCACAATTAAGACCATAATTTTTGTTGCTAAACAGGATTATTGAGTCATGCCCAATATTATGACCCTTTCTGCCATGGTTGTTAAGTGAATCCAACTTCCCTCATTGATTTTGCTTGTCGGAAGCTGGCTGGGCAGGTTGGAAGTGCGGATCCTATGATCTGGGACACTGCAACCGTTGTGAATAGATGCCAGTTTTCAAGCACCTGAATTGTGATCTCACAACCTTGGAGATGCTGCAAGTCACAAGTGGAAGCCCCAGTTGTAAGTCTCCCCTTCAGTGATGTTGTGTCTCCAAATGGTGGCTAAACTTGTGTCTTTAAGTCGAGGACTATCCATTGTGTAATGAACAAAACCCCCTAAAAATCCAAATTCTATAGCTGGGTAGCATTTGTGTAAAAAGCCACCAAAGGACACAGCTGTAGAATTTCCTCCTCCTGTCAGTGAGAAATTGCCCAAACCAGGTGGGCAAAGGAGGTCCAGGAACGAATCCAGTTGGCCCCACACTTCAGCATCCGTCTCAGGCGAAGGCCGGGCGGCCATTGTGGTGGGAGTCCTGCTGGTGGCTCCTCTGGTGTTGCTTCCCAGGAGGGGAAGGAAGGGACCCAATAGACGTTGCAGAGAATCCCTTGGGAGGGGATTTCAGGGGAGAAGCCAGCCACGGATTGGAGCCTCAGGGCCACCAGGGAAGAGCCCAGTCGAATCAGGAGGACTCAGAAGACCTTTGATTGACAACCTCATTGGTAGCACCTAGAAAGTCGAAGTTAGCTCCAAGTCATTCCCGCGCTTTACAGTAGTTAAAAGAATAGAACACCCACCCACCCCCAAGGAGTCTTAGGTCACATTAGCCAATCTGTCCGTCAGCAGCTCCCCCCCACCCCCCGTGACCTTGGTTCTCACACGGATCCTGGCTGATGTTTTGTCTGGCTGGTTAAGGCACCACATTCCAATACCTTCTAACTCCCCCCCCCCCCAAGAGAGGCAACAGAGAAGTGTAACAAAAGTAAGCAGGGCTGAAGTTCTTTTGAGGGTTGACAGCAGACTCTTCAAAATATGCAGATGACAGAAAGTCTCAAGGTTGAACACACACACACACACACACACACAAACTGCCTCCGCCAATCAGTAGTTAAGACGCTAATTGAGCCTGCTGATTAGGTTCGGAAGTCAGGAGGGCATTAAGTGATTCATGTTAAATGAATGAGCCCCATCCTGGCTCTCCCCCGTGCCTTTGTTAATCAAGCGTGCGAGTCATTAAGTGCACAGAGGGTGAATCGGGTGGAGAAGACGCAAGCGTAGGAAGACCACCACCTGCCTCTGCCCCCCTCAATGAGGTGCCCCTTGCTGCTCTTGGGGTCCCCACAGACACTTGGACCTCTTCAAGTCTCCTTGGAGCTCCAGAGCTTAGGACATTGGGGTATGAAAGGAGGGCAGGCCGTCCCACCACTGGTTTGCGTGGCAGAAAAGCGGCCCAGCCCTCTGTTTTCAGCAGAACTCTTCCCTCAATCCCCCTCTTCCTCTTCTGTCCTGCAAAGACAAGTACAAACGTGGCCACCTGCTCCCCTTCCCAGTGACCTCACCTGGCCACGCACTCCAGGGGTGGGTTCCTGCCAGTTTTAACCTCTTCTATAGAAGAGGTTCCACAAATCTATAGTGCCGTTTAGAACCGTTCCAGCTCCCTCCCCCCGCCCACCCGCACATCATCAAGATGAAGAGCGAGAGGAGGAATTCTGGGAGTTGAAATCCACAAGTCTTAAAGCTGTCAAGTTTGAACACCCCTGGTTGTTTTTTTTTCTAAAGGCTTAGGGGTGCAAGGGTCTTGTAACTTGACACCTTTAAGACTTGCGTGCTTCAAATGCCAGAGTTTCTGAGGCAACATTTTGGTTGCTAAGCAAGAGCGTTGTTAAGTGAGTTTCAACACATTTTACAAGTTGGCCATGCCCACCCAGTCACATGGCTGGCAAGCCACTCCCACAAAGCAGGCCACACCTACAGAAGACATTCTAAAATATTTTGAAACCCACCACTGACCCGCTCCCTCTCTCCCAGCATCAGAGGAAAGTTTGCCAGCCTAGTGCATTCGCTGGGAGACCGAGGGAGCGTGTGGCCAGGCAAGTTCACTGGGAGAGGGAGCAGGTGGCCACATCCTTACCTGCCTTTGCAGGACAGAAGAGGAAGAGGGGGATTGAGGGAAGAGTTCTGCTGAAAACAGAGGGCTGGGCCGCTTTTCTGCCACGCAAACCAGTGGTGGGACGGCCTGCCCTCCTTTCATACCCCGACGTCCCGAGCTCTGGCCATCTCTGAAGGGTAGGCGAGCAGTGGGTGAGGCAGTGGGCTGGAGCATGTGGAACCCGGTGGGGTGGGGGGAGATACGCTGTGTGTGCATTGCAGCGTCTCTGCGGTTGGTCCCAGGTCCGGTCGTAAGAGTGAATGACCACAGGGGCTGCTGCAACACACTAACTTTGGGATGGAGTCAGAAGTACTTTTTGTGTGTCATAACTTTGAACCATCACTAAGTGACCAGTCATAACTGGAGGACTATCTGTACAAGTTTTGCTTCCTCGCTCCCTTATGTTGCTGCAGTTTTCTGTTCCAGGATAAGGTCTGATGCTTCCTGAAGCCTTGGTGGACATTGGGCACCACCACTGCTTCTCCCTCCCTAGCAGTGGGGAAGCGGCCTGGGGTCCTGTAGGCTGTGGCTCAAAGGGACCCCTGGGATTCCCTCTGGGTGCTTCCCTCTTTCTCCAGGCAGCTGTGGTGGCCGAGGCCTATGACTTCACTCCAGACTGGTCAGAGGTGCTCTATCAGCAGGTCATCCTGAAGGGCGACTTCAACTATCTGGAGGAGTACAAGCAACATGAGCTGCTCAGGACTGGCACATTCGAAGAGATCACCCACAAGTGAGTCTTCGGCCTGTTCTATGCAGCTGGGAAGGCGGTTTGTGGCTTCGGGAGCCGAGAGGAAGTGATGGGGCAGCAGCTTTTTGAGCTGGGGAGGGGGGAAAAGGGGACGTCCTCCGTTAACTGGCAGCCCTTCTCTTTCAGAGTCAAGCAGCAGGCAGCAAATGAGTCTGCTGTGAGGAACCTGAAGCAGCTCTTGACCCACTGTGAGGACATTTATGTCTATTACAAGCTCGCCTATGACAACCAGTTCTACGATGTGGTCCACTTGCTCTTGAATGACGCCCAAACAGGCTGCTGTCTCAACGATTTACTGGCCAATTAGCTTGTCCTGGCTGGCCAAAGTAGAACTGCAAACAAACTAGACAAGCCAGAAAAAAGCAACTTAGGGAGCTACATTTTCAGCCATTCAGAGGAAAAAGATTAGCCAAGATGCTCTTTTTCAAATGGCGTGAACTACACAAAACAGAAGATCATTAATCTGGGACTTGGTGTCAAATACATTGACTTCTGGAGTCAGGCTGAAACGCAGCTGCCGTGGGATTAAAACAACTTCACATTGAAGACCATCGTCCTTGGCTGAAGCTTCGAGATACTTTTGAATGATCTCGTGACCAGAGAGCAAAACATAACTAAATTCGACTTGGGAGTATTTCAGAACTATTTTTTTCTTCTATACCAGAAGACAAGTAGCTTTTTCAGATCTATTTTTGGAGCTGTGAGTTGAAGCATTATAGCTCTGTCACTTTTTCAGGAACTTGCAAAGGTGGGCAGCTCTACCTTGTGGTGGTAGCTGTGTGCAAGGATGCGTCGGGCATATATGAATGGCTCAAAGAACCAGAAAATGCTCTTCTGCTAATTTGGAGTGTGGGAAAAGCTGGTCAATTTAGACACTGGGAGAGGTGGCTAAGCGGTTGCAGCCTAGCATCCAAGGCTGGTTAGATCTCCCGCCCTGGGAGGCCATGGCAGTAAAGGATTCCCCCTTGCTTTTTCCTCTCCCTTCAGAACCATTGGGATTGGTCTTGGTGGTGGCTACTGATTACTGTCCTGTCTTTAAAGGTAATACAGTTTAGCCATCTGCATGTTTAGAAAGAGGAGCCATTATTGGATTTGCTCATGTCTTGAGAAATTACCTGTGGGCTTTTTTTGAGAATCATTCCAGTCACTGGCTATTAATGGGGGGCAGCCTCAGTCCGAAGATGGGAGGGTGTGGCCAGAACTGCCCAATCCACATGATCCCTTGAGTGGGGTGAGAAGAGTCGCCGCTTCCCTTGGCAATTTGGTCCCTTGTCAACAATTGTTAATGTCCACGGGCAAAGCACAAGCTGACCAAAAATCTCAGTCCTCACAATAGTGATTTTATTAAATTAGTTGCTTTTATAAAACATTTGCAGATGTCATAATTCTGAACATAACAATTTGCCCAACTACTGTAACTGTTGCAGTTTGCTAAGCAGGATTCCTATACATGAAAAAATCCGCAGTCTTGTGAGAGCCACCAAACCGGGTGATAAGAAACTGTCCCAAAGAATCAGCAAAGTGTCAGCTGAACTGCTCAGAGAACGTCCTTTCCCCCTCCCAGGGCACAAAAACAGCCCCTTTTCAAGCTTGGGAGTCAGGGAGATTTATAGCTACGTCCCTCAAGCCACTGAAAAACCAAATTCTAATAGAAAAGCCATTTTAATACTACTGCAAACCCATGCAATTGCTGCAAACTGCCTTTGTTTTCTGGGTAGTTTCTTGTAAAAAAAAACATAGTTAAGATTGTTATTACTAACTCTGCTGGTAATGACTTCGGCCAGGTCAAAATTAATGTCCAATTTAGTGCTGCTTCGCTGCCATGAAGACACACTTTTTCAATATTCCGTTATTTCCTATCATTGAATAAAAAAATTGAGCTTCATAATTTTATTCCCTCGGCATCAAGACAGGTATTCCAATGTGTCAAGTCGTGACAGGATAACCAACAGCACAAAGATACTGCACTGAATGATTGTGGCATTTGGCAGAATTGAAAGGAAAGGAGTTGTGCTACAGTTAGGGGAGTTTGGGCAAACCAACAATCGGAAAGAACGGGTCACATGAAGTCTTCGAAGTCTTGTACATAGCCACCATCGTAGCCACCATAGTCTTCCAGGTCATCTTTCATTGTTGCTTTTAGACCCCCACCAGGCACTACACCTTTTTTCTTCTTTTTGGCTTTATTTTGCTGGAAAGAAAAAGGGACAGCTCAGATTTAAGAACATAACTGGACCTCGCCAATCCTGGGCTAGAAAAGGGAAAGCAAGCCTCCATTCCCTTACACACCCCTGTGCTATCCACCCCCCACCCACAAGAAACAACCCAGGGTTGATGAAAGCTGAAATCCAGAATGCGTGGAAGGTACCAAATCAAGAAAAAAACATTTGCATTTATTCTGACATGCAGTATTCTGTACCCGATGGAGTATTTACCTTCATCAGGACCCAGGGGTGGAGTATTTACCTTCATCAGAAACCCAGGGGTGGGTTTCTTGCCCCGTTCCAGTTGGAATGGGGCCGCCGGCGTCCTCGTGCACGCACGTGGTGCACGCATGCGTACTAGCGTCTGCGCGATGCTCCAGCTGCTCCTGGAGGATCGTGCAGGCGCTGTATGCGTCCTGCGCATGCGTAGAAACATAGAACTCGTCAAAACTGGGTAAGGACTGCAGGCGGGCGCGCCCTTCGCTGTTCCCAGAAGTTACTTACTTCCGGGTTCGCCGACCAACTGGTTCGCAGGGACCGCCGCGAACCGGTTGAAACCCACCCCTGATCAGGACCCTGATCAACGTTTACAAACTGCTGTGTAAAGAAATTAAACAGCTTGCCAGAATAAGACAAAAGGGGCTTCTTCAGTTGTAGAAAGTCTAGTAGGAGCAGGAGGAGATGTTTTCATGGAGCCGGTAGAAGGAAGCTACATTAACTGCCAAGTGCCTTTCCCCCCCTCCCACTTCCTCCCCCAGATCAAGGAGAATATCACAGATATTGATAAAATATCTGTGATATTTTGGAATAAGCTTGGAAGCACACACCCCCCCCCCCAAAAAAACCAACCTTCTCCTGTTTTTGCTTCTCACTGCATAGCACCGTCAAGGAATTGGTGATCTTTTTCAAGTCATCGACTTCCACTAAAGAAGGAACAAGGAGGGGAGGGATTATTTGCAGCTTGCTTTTTCTGCTCCAAAAAGGGTGGCAAAGGAATATTACATTACAAGAAAACCCCTGGAATACTTGGGGAAATACATTTAGGGAAAATGCGGATAAGCTGGCAATTTATGGATAGGCAAGACACCACAGTTGTAGGGAAGGTCATATCTGGGTTATGACCTGAAGCATAAAACCGAAAGAGTCTAACCAATGCCTGGCTCTATTATGAGCAGCCCTACCTTCTTTCACTGAAAACTAAGGTTAACTATGTGGCTCATAGAAAAAAATTAAAATCCAATTGAGCAATAATTTAAAAATGTTCATTTTTTCCTGAATGTTTTATTTGGCATGCCAAAGATGACCTTTGTACATTTGTTCAAAATGTCACAGCAGTCTAAGTGTCTGAAGTGAGCCTTGGCTCAAAAGCCCCCCCCCCTTTTCCATCAGGCAATCTTCCTGGGACTTGGGAGTGTAAAAATCCACAGGCTCCTGAAGCCAGACAGCCCCCCAGGAAATCCCCAACTGACATCACAGCTCTTCCCCAGTGCCTGTCTCCTTTAGGCCTTCAGGGAGATGCCCCTTGGGCTCTGCTCCTTTCCCAAAACCAGAACAAGAGGACAAAATGCCCTCCTGGCCAGATTTCTTCTCAAAATAAGAGATGACACACTGCAAAATATTAAGTGCTAAAACAAATATTCATTTAACTGAGTAGACCGAAGGCAAGTATGCCTTCTTTCCCCACTGCTTTTTCTAACATTTAAAAATATCCAAAAGACTTGATGAAAGACAACACATTCAACATCTGCTATCAACCTGAGATTACTATAAAGCATCAAGGAGAAATGAGGGACAATTAGTGTGAATGTCCATATGGGATACCAATAATTCATTGGCTGAATTCTGTTGTAATAAAGTCAACACTGGCTAATATGTTAAAAAATAGAGGGCTACCAACACCCCCGGTTTCCCAATGAAAAATGGTATTTAATAAGGCCATTCTGACTTATCAGATGTAGGTTAAATCCTAAACTTTATCATGGATACGGCTTTTTTCTCTTCAGTGAATTTTATGTTACATACATTTTTAACACAAGTTATTAGAAATTATTTTAAGTTTATGAAGTGGTCTGGCTGCATCTTTATAGAATACAGTGGCTAGTTAAAACTTTGAAATTGTAAGCAAGCCAAATGGACAGAAATATTAAATATGAACTGTTTAGGAAAATGAACACACTTTTCTCTTCCAATGATCCTGCATTAGGGAGGTAATGCATATTTAGATATTTGTTGGGAATTACCCAGGTGCTTTTCTTGTAAGATAAATAGATGATCAGATAAGCTGGTTGTGGAAGGAATGTTCTACTATCTTAGCAGCAGCATTAAAATAGAACATAGAATACATTACAAAACCTTTTCTAGATTGAGTTAATAAATAATGAATTCAATCCCATTAGCCTAGTCTATTTTACTGGAGAATTGTTCTAATGTGTTCTTCATTTCCAAGCTAAGCAGGGTGCAAACAATAGTACTTCACTGAATGTACTTACATGAAATGCATATATCTCGAACTAACGTTTCCAAAAATCCAGCATAATATAGGGATTTCTCATACTGTGTTATTTTTTCTTTTAACAATTTCTCAAATTCCGTAAAATCATCTTTTGAGGATGGATTCATACTATCTATTCCACATATGCTATTTACACCTGTAAGAAAAGAGCAATTTATAGAAAGGGCTGCTGAAGCACATAAAACACACTGACAACACACTGAAAGAAAAGAAATGGTCTCAAAGAGGCTGGTCTGGGCCCGCCCTGACATTCTTAAAAACGAGGGAGGACCTGAAAGTGCTTTGGGTCATGGAGACCCTCTTGGTAGAGAACTGTGGGGGCATCCTTGGGCCAAAAGAAGGGAAGCGGCTGCCAGCACAGCCTCCACGCTCACCGAAGGTTTCTTTTGCTAACTCCAGGTCTGCCTCTTCCTGCAACTTCTGCAGCCGGAGCTTGTCTGCTAACTGCTCTTCCGGCGTCAGGTCTTTCGAGTCTTCCAACTCCTCAAACTTCAAAAGGGAGACAAAGCAGAAATGCAACCGGCCGCGCCGCCCAGGCGCCGCAGAAAGGCAGCGGGGCGAGGCTGCGGGCCGTTCCCCGTTGGCCTTGGGGGAGGCCCGGCCCTTCCCTTACCCTTTTCATCGCCTCCTCCTGCTTTTTCCGCTGCAGCTTCTCCCGCTCCTTTATCTTCTCCGCTGCTTTCTTCTTGTCGGAAACTTTGGATTCTGCGGAGAGGCCCAAGGTTAGCGGCGGCTTCCCGCTGGCGGCGCGGGGCTCCCGGGGACCCGCCGCCCGACCGCTCACCTGGCTTGGCCTCGGCCTCCTTTTCGTTCGCCTGCTGCTGCTGCTCCTCTTCCTCGTCGTCCCAGTTGTCCTGGCCGGGGCAGAGCAGAAGCGCCGGTCAGCCGCCGGGAGGCCTCCGCCGCCGCCCGCCTCCCCCAACGCACCGGGGAAAGGCCCCGGGGCCCCCGCCGCCGCCCCGCCCCCCTCCCGGCCACCTTGACGTCGTCGTCCTCGTCCTCGCCGGCCCAGCGGTCCCTGGTCACCACGGCGGGAGTGGGCCCCAGGCGCCCGGGCAGCGGGTCCGGCGCCTCGAAGGTGTCCGCGTCTGCGGGGACAGAGAAAGGGTGAGCAGAGGGCCCGGGCCTGCCTGGCCGGAGGGAGCGGGAGGGGGCAGCGCCGGTGGCGCCCGACTTACCCCAGGAGTCCGCCTCGGCCGCCATCTTGCCCGCCGCCCTCTCGCTCTCGCGGCTCGCCCAGGCCAGCAGGCAGAAGGGGCCGCGCGGGGCACGCCGGGACTTCCGCCCCGCCTCCGACGCGCTTTCTGCTTCCGCCGACGTCCCCGGAAGAGGCGGGGGGGGGGCCGCCCCCCTTGCCTCTCGCGGGAGGACGGCCCGCCGGCGCTGCCGGAGGAGGCGAGGCCAGGAGGGTGTGGCCTCGGTCCACATGCCGCGTCGCCCCGCCCACTGGACGAATCGGGGCGGCTGTTTAGCGCCGGCCTCTTCCTGGAAGATAGCCCGAGTCCTTTTGGATGTTCTGCTTGTCATCTGGGCTCGGCAGAAGGCCGCGAATGGTTCCTCTTTAGGGCCTCCATGCGCGGCTCATCCCGAAGCCTGTCTGTATCCCGAGGGCTCTTGCACAGCCACACTCGGCCAATGTTCTAACACGGTGTT